GGATTCAGTTTTTCAATACACTAATACAAATTTGATAGGTTTTAGTGATTCTGATTGGGCTGGGGATATTAGTGACAGAAAAAACACATCAGGTGCATGTTTCTTTTTGGGGAATAATTTGGTTTCTTGGTTTAGTAGAAAACAAAATTGTGTATCATTTTCAACAGTTGAATCAGAATATGTAGCTGCTGGAGGATGTTGTGGTCAACTAATTTGGATGAAACAAATGTTGGGGGATTATGGGTTAACCAGTGACACCCTGGCCATATATTGTGATAATTCAAGTGCTATTGATATTTCAAAAAATCCTGTTCAACACTCACGAACTAAACACATAGATATTAAACATCATTTTATTCGTGATATAGTTGAGAAAAATATAGTGTGCTTAAAGTATATTCCCACAGAAGATCAGCTGGCTGACATCTTTACAAAGGCATTAGATTATGAGAGGTTTTCTAAACTTAGAAAATCTCTCGGGATGTGTACTCAATAAACATGTCATAAAATATGTTGCAGCACCTCATCAAATATCTTAAGCTGCAACATAATTTCCTGAAGCTTAGCTTCTTTAAATAATGACTTCACTGTGATGAATTATTCTCTAAATAAGTAACTGGAAGTCTTTCACCTTGAAACGTTATCATGCTTCATGTAAACATTTCAGAGAACAATTATAGTCACACAAGTCAAACTCCTCTATTTTGATAGTCATATCTTAGTTACTGAGGAACATGGGTTAGTCTTTTATTTTCCACTAAGTCCAGTCCTTATTGTTCCATGTGTCACGTTTTGCTTTAAACTGCCAAATAAACCTTTATTCTCCTTAACCACACTTTCTCCAAGAAAAACGCACCCCACTTCTTCACCTTCTCCACTTTGATTTTTCTCAGCAAAAATTAGGGCTTATAAATTTCGTGCTTAATCTTTCAAAAATTCACACTCTCAAATCAAAAGCACAAGAACAAATTTTTATCTACTGTATCATGGCATCTCCACCTAGAAATCCCCTTCCAGCCGAAGATGATGTCCACAACGATGCTGCAGCACCTGAACCAGCAGACCCGAATCTGGCCATCATCGTTCATCCTGTCAATCTTGAAGCAATGCCGATCAGTTACATTGAGCCCGGAGACGAGCTGAATCCGATTGACCCAGAAAACTTCGAGTTCGTGGGTCCCTCTTCCACTGCAAGAAGTTTTCCAACTCGCCGTTCCAAGCGCATGAATCCATTCCCAGATCTGAATGCAACTGGGTCACAACGTCGAAGGGGAGGAAATTCTCCCAGCAGAGGCGGCAGAGGTGGAAAAAAGAGGTGGCAAAGGTGGTCGTACTCCAGTTAGGCCAAACCCACAAAGAGGCCTTCACTTGGTTGATGAAGAAACAGATGATGAAGAAGGAGATCCTACCTTTGCAGAACCAGAAGCCCAAGTTCTCTCCTCAAGCTCCTCTGAATCATCCTCAAATGATTCGATTCCACCAGCATCAACTCAGGGGGAGACATCTCAGTCTAACATGGCAGCAGCACCTTCACAACATCCTGTTTCTGAAGATGTTGCTGCACATGTTCCAGAAGATGTTGTTGCACCCACTGTCTCAGCCAATGTTTCTCAGAGTGCTGCTGAGGATGCTGCTCCCTACCAGGATGAAGAAATGCCTGATTTTTCAGGGATGTCCTCTGCCGAGCATGTTGACATTCCCTCTGTTGATGCTCAGGATTTCACTACCACTGAAGAAACACCTTCAGCACCACATGCAGACCCTCTGGAAGCTCTTGCAGAAGCAGCTGTTCAAGTAGATGCATCACCTCCTCAGGCTGATGAACCAGAGAAAAGTGATGACAGCTGGGAAGTTCCCCTTGCCACTTTTCGCAAAAAAATTGCCATCCTCAGAGTCAGACAGTGACTCGTCTGAGGATTCCTCTCAGATGCAGGAAGATGCTGCCCCACGTGTTGCATCACCTGAGCCAGCATACATCTCGGATGAACTTGAAGACTCTGAAGAAGAGGAATCTTCTGAGGAATAGCTGAACTTGGATGGGAAGGATCTGTCAACTCCTTTTGAGGTAAACAATGCTTTCAGTACTACTTTTTATTTTGAATCTGATTCAAATTTGAAGTCCTCAAATCATGAATTGCCAATTCATTGAGGAGAAGAAAATTTCCAAGGATGAGTTTAATAGACATATGATTACTGATTTTCTTGATCAAAGAAAAATCCTTAGTCTAGTTGAGATTGCCTGTCCTTATGATCCCTCTGCTGTGAAGGAATTTTATGCCAATTTACAAACCTCTTTTCTAAAGAAAAATTCTCCAAACTTTGGCAAAGTTTTTGTGCGAAATTCCATTTTCTCCCTTTTCTCCCAAAATTATCAACTCTCATTTACAAACTCCTACTGTGATTGATGAGGATAATTATGGTGATTTTACTAAGGTTTGTAAGACTCTTTCTGGCAATCGTTTAAAATGTTGGCCTGCTCA